CCCGCAAAGCACAAAGCATGAGTTAGTCCGGCCCGGGAATTCTATTGTCCCCCCACACACACATCCCCTCGAGTAGCTGTGAACTGTCTGTCTGGTAGACACACTCACGCAGCCTGAGCACATTTACCAGCCAGGCAGTTTGAAACTACAAACTGATGCATCTAGTAATAATGCAACTTAATGAGAAATTGAAAGACCTGTTATATGTCTGGTATTTTGTCAGTTTGTTTTTTATGTGTTTATATTTTTGGGCTGCAAAAAGCAGTATTGGAAAAAAAAGGGTTCCAACTAAAGTAAAAACTTTGGGAAACCCTGGTCTAACCAGCTTTCTGTCTGTCTTACAGTCCATTTACCCAATCCATATTCCTTAACTTGCTGGCAAGAATATTGTGGGTGACCATATCAAAAGCTTTGCTAAAGCTGGCACTGGGGGTTTTGGGAGGACCAGAAACAACTTATTTGAATATTCATCATTTGATTAATGAATATGCAAATGAACATTACTGTCCTCCAAAAGTTCGTGAATGGATTTTACTGGTCCCCGTGTCAAAAAGTTTGGGAACCCCTGGTCTAGACAGCATTTGGTCCTGCCATGAGGGCAGGGTACTGGACTCGATGACCTCTCAAGGTCCCTTACAGTCCTAGTATTCTATGATTCTATGATTTTCAGTGGAGTCATTTTATATGGAGAGGACTAAGGAAATTGTTCCAAGAAATTGTGGGATACTTCCAACTGATTCCTGGGACACCAGTCAAGTGGCACTGCATCTGTACTGCAGAGTCTGTTAGAGGAAAGTGGGTTAGGCTTGAGACTGAGCTGAAGCACTGGCTTACGTTGCAGTGTAGAGGGACATATACCAAAAAACCACCTCTCTGACTCTCGAGCAGTGGTTTCCACTTTTATCATTTGCAAACCCCAAAACATTTCAAATAGAGGTGTAGGCCCCCTTTGGAAATTCAGCTAACCTAGTTTGCTTATCACTGTTCTAGTACATCAGCCCATGTTCTCTCCAGTTTTCCCAGATGCTGAACAATATAGAGAAGATTATTGAATTTTGTAAAATTCCATTGGGGATGGATTTTGAGATGCGGAATAGTTGCCTATAAATAAGCATCCGGGGTTGGCTAGGGACATGTCAGAATATTTCTCTCCATCCCTGGGGCAGCTTTAAAGTTGGGACACAAGTATTTGATGATCTTCCCTTATCATTGTACCAAAGAAAGTAATTTATTAGAGCATAAAGTGCTCTGTCTTTACCATACTCTGGCCTGAAGTCTGACTCATGAATCCAGGATACTGGTACCTGATGTATCATTGAAGATTACTTTTTGTTAAAACTCTTCACAAATTTGCATAGAAAAGGGTGATTAGATACTAAGATGGACTATATGAATCCTTTGAGCAAAGATTTCTTTAATACTAATTAGATTATTGTACATTTAAGTGTGATAGTTTCACCTCAAAGGAGTTAAGTCTGTTAGTAGAACATATTGGAACAGCGAATGCAGAGGTGGGGAACCTGAGGCCTGGGGGCCAGATGCAGCCCTCAGCTTGCCTGGATCTGGCCTCGAGGCTTAAGGCCCCCCAGCATTGGGGAGCCCACAGTAGAGTTCCAACCACCCTGCTGCCTCCCAGGGGCTAGAGTGCACAAACTCTACTAGGCACAAAATCCACCATAGGCTCTGGTGTGCAAGGGAAATGTGGGGAGTCTTTCTCATTCTCAGTTGGGGGCCACAGTGTGAGGGGTTTGTTCTAAGGATGTTAAGTAATGGTTAATTGACTAGTCAAGGAGTCAATGGAATTTCCATTGACTACTCAACTAGTCAGCAAGCACTTCCGCATTCCTTTGAAATTTCAAAGGAGGAATGCAGAATGCTGGAATTTCCATTGACTACTCAACTAGTCAGCAAGCACTTCCGCATTCCTTTGAAATTTCAAAGGAGGAATGCAGAATGCTGCATGCAGCCCAGGGCCTGCAGGAAGTCCCACTGATTGCGGGCTGCACACAGTGTGCCAGCTTTAGAATGTACAAGAGTTCCCAGCGGAGGCTCTTGTGCATTCAAAGCGGCACATGCAGCCCAGGGCCTGCAGGAAGTCCCACTGATTGTGGGCTGCACACAGTGTGCCAGCTTTAGAATGTACAAGAGTTCCCAGCGGAGGCTCTTGTGCATTCAAAGCGGCAGTGCAGTGTGGAGCCTGGGATCAGCTGAGGACTCGCCAGCTGATCCTGGGCTCCCTGTGGCATTTCCTCAGAACCCAGGGTCAGCTGGGGATGCTCCCAGCTGATTTCGTGTTCTGCGGAAATGCCACGGTGGAGTCTGGGATCAGCTGTGCAGTGCTGCTGCTCTGAAATGCTGAGGCAGCGCTGCCCCTTTGAACGCTGCCTCAGCATTTCAAAGGAGCAGCGCCACAAAGCTGAGCCCCTGCAGGATCAGCTGTGCGGGGCTGCTGCTTTGAAGTACCCTGTTTTTGCCCCCGTTTGCTGCTTCTATCTGATAAGCATTTGCTTATCAGATAGTCGACTAGTCCTTAACATCCCTAGTTTGTTCCCACTTCTCTCTTGTGTGCGGCCTCCAACTGATTTTTTTCTGTGTCAATGGCCCCCCATAACATCCCTAGTTTGTTCCCACTTCTCTCTTGTGTGCGGTCTCCGACTGATTTTTTTCTGTGTCAACGGCTCCCCCACACAAAAGGTTCCCCACCCCTGATCGAACATCTGCCTTTCTTCATGATGAGACAGTCACTGTTGCTGACACTGGTTGTCATTAGCCTTCTGCCCCCCCTGTAGAAACTGGTTAACTCAATAACGTTCCTGAGTGTGATTATTGTGTTGTAGCTAAAGTCACTTTAATAGGCTTTTTCAAACTTTTTTTCAAACTTGAGTTGTAAAATGTAGCTTTAGATTTAGTCCTTGTAGCAAGAACAAAGCAAAGTCTCTAGCATTTAAATTCTGTCCCTGATTGTTTTTGTAGGCCTGAGCAACCTCGTATAACCAAAGATGTAATTTGTTTTCATGCTGAAGATTTCTTAGAGGTAGTTCAGCGGATGCAGTTAGATTTGCATGAGCCTCCACTCTCACAGGTAAGCATATTGTGAATTATTAATCAGAAATATTTCTCACTTTTTAGAATAGATTTTTCATCTTTATTCTCATTTTTCCTCCTCCAGTGTGTCCAGTGGGTTGATGATGCAAAACTTAACCAACTGCGAAGGGAAGGCATTCGATATGCTAGGATTCAATTATATGATAATGACATTTATTTTATTCCAAGGAATGTTGTGCACCAGTTCAAGACGGTTTCAGCTGTATGCAGTTTGGCTTGGCACGTCCGGCTCAAGCTATATCACTCAGAGGGAGAAGTTTCACAAAATGCAAGCACCTATGAAGCAGGCATATCTGCAGACCCCATGTCTTCGGTTATTGGACTTCAGACTGACAAAATAATTTGTACAATAAGCAAAAATACCTCCGAAGACACCACATTTTCAGATACTCTGCAAACTAAGTATGTAAAACAGGAATTCACACAGATAAAACATGAACTTACTGCCTCTCGCAGAATTAAAGAGGAATCCATGAATGTTGATCTTCCTGAGAAAACAATGGCACCTAATGATACGGAGCGTCAGAATGTTAAAGGAAAATTGGATAATGTTGAATTGACAGCTTTTAAATATGAAGTGGACTCTAAATTTGAACCTGGCAATGACTTACAGAATAAGTTGTGCTCTGGAAGTCACATAAGTCTATATGATACAAGACAACAGGGTTCAACATATCCAAATCAGCATGGACAAAGAGAAGATGACTTTTTGTGCTAATTTTGTACATATCGTTTTAAATTCCTTTTTAAACTGAATGACGTAATAATGTAAAGATTCATAAATTCTGTGAGGCAAGCTTGTGATTTGCTCTCACAACTGTTACAGAAAATAGTTTATGTAGCTTTGTAACATTCCTCAGTGCCTGTCCATAACTGTGAAGTATCAAAGCACTTAGGGCCAGATGCACTGTAAACACTGCAGGTTTAACATAAAGAAGTCTTTAAATAATTTGAGTTGTAGGTTTTAGAGTAGAGCTGACATTTAACATATATATTTTTTGTAAGATGAGCCAGAATTCTTTTTGACAATTCCAGGCTTTTCCATAGAGCTTATTTATACCAATTTTTTTCATTTTAAATGTGTCAGCACTGTAGTGTAAATAGCTTTTTTAAAAAAATCTTTTTAGTGTGATTTATACTGAAATATGAGCCGCTTAATAAAGGTTCAGAACAAACAAATGGTTTTATTTTTTGGTCTGCAAAAAACAACTAGGTTAAGCTACCTCTTTAAACTGTTTTGTTTCTATTTGTGCTGTACTTCCTGAAAGACCCAGCTGTGACCTTGTTTCTGGAGTGAGGAGCTGCAGCAGTCAAACAGCGTGGGGTATTATGTGTTTGTAAAGAAAGATCAGTCTGAATGCCCTGTACAAGACTGCTTTCAGCTGCTTGTGTTTAAAAAAAAAAGTGTACCATGCATTCTTTAGTGCCTGCTGTCAGATGAACTAATGAGGTATAGTCTTATACACTCTCCCTTAGTTTCTGGAGTACAACTGGATATCCTGTGTGCTTCAGGAGCACCGTCAGCAGTATTCTATATCACTACTGGTGTGTTGGGAATAGGGAGTTTGCAAGCTCCTTTCTGCTCTTGTTTTCTCTCATGCACACGTCACATGATTAGCTGGAACTTAGCCTTAACACTGAACATTTTTCTAAATCTAGTTTGACTAAATTAGAGCAGAAATATTTTAAAAATATTTGTTATTTTTACATCATTTAAGACCATTTCTAATTGGGTTAAGACCTGGGAATCTTTGGCACAGATATACAAGTTTTGGATTTGAAGTGGTTTTTTTAATTGATACAAGCAGATACTCCATGCACTAGGGCAGTGGTGGCCACCCTGCGGCTTGCGAGCCGCATGCGGCTTCCAAAGAGGAAAAAGTTGCGGCTCCTAATGGAACATGGAACTGCTCGCCTCAGCTGCTCTCATGGCTGGGCCGCTCTGAGCCTCATATGTGCTCAAGGCCTGTGCCGTTCCACTCGTGGTCCCCAGCGCATTAGGTCATATCCTGCACATGCAGGCCAGGTCGTACTCAGCGCCCCAGCCTGCACATGCTAGCAGGCAGCGGCAGCTCCAACTCCATCTCTGGGACCTGCGCATAAGGTTAGAGAGGTGGGGGGAGATACCTGGCTCTCGAAGGGAGGGAAGGGGGATCGAGTGGGGGTGTGTGTGCATGGCATCCTGGCAGGCACATGCTTAAAGCCGGTCGCTCAGCTCATGTGCCCAGCGCCTGTAGAAGGATGTGCAGTGGCTCTTACTCTGGGATCGATTGGGTTAGAACGGGGGGGGGGAAGGAGTAGGAATCCTGGTACTGCATACCAGCTTCAACTTCTCAGGAAGTACGCGGATGTCATGGGAAGCAGAGGAAGAGCACATGCTTCTTGACAAGTTGCAGCTGGCATCCAGTCCCGGGATTCCTACACACGCACACCCTGCACAGGCAGGCAGCAGGAGGAAGGAAGTCCTCGGTGGAGTGAGAACGGGGGGGGGGAAGGAGTAGGAATCCTGGTACTGCATACCAGCTTCAACTTCTCAGGAAGTACGCGGATGTCATGGGAAGCAGAGGAAGAGCACATGCTTCTTGACAAGTTGCAGCTGGCATCCAGTCCCGGGATTCCTACACACGCACACCCTGCACAGGCAGGCAGCAGGAGGAAGGAAGTCCTCGGTGGAGTGACAGACCCGGTGTTTCAGAAAGAGTGCCAGCTGTTTTTGGGAGAGGAAGGCAGGAGGGTAGGGGAAGAGCAACCCGCATGCTACCTGGGATCTCGAGCTGGCCAGATCGACCATCCCCACCCCGAGCAGCACCATGTCCTCTGCTCCCACCAGCACAATTGGGACCACATTAGTGAGGCTTGCAGTTTTTTGGAGGGGTTGTTTTTTGCATCTCATTTGTGTGGCCCTGACTGATTTTTTTTTTTCTGTGGGTCCATGACTCCTGACTCAAAGCAGGTTCCCCACCCCTCTCATAAAATATAGACAATGCTGAAACATGTTGTTTGACAATTTTTTTCCCTCAACTTTTCTCTCTCCCCTCTCTACCTTCCCCGCTATGTGATTCTTTGCAATTTGTCCACCACTATTTTGTCTTTGTCTCTAACAGGTTGGCCACCCCTGCACTAGGGTAAAGTAGGAAAAAAGTACATGCCAATCAGTCCTGAGGATAATTCCTTACCAACACCAATTTGGATATGAACAAGAATTGTTTACAAGTTAATAATGTCCAAGTTAAGTATCCACTTTTTTCCTTCAAATATTGAATTGCTTGGTAGTTGTAAGGTGCATTGGGTCAATACTTCTGAAGAGAATTCCAAACACTAATTACTATCTGATGGGAAAATGGTAAATTCTGTAACTTAAATACATTTTAAAAACATTGTGGGTATCTGTTGCTGTTTAGTTCTAACATATCCAAAACCTACACTCTCCTTTCAGCTACTTACATAATTTCTCAGCTTCCTATTCTACCACGTGCATACAATTTAAGGTCTCAATTCTGTCATGATTTCTAAGACTCTTGAATATCTTTTGATCAATTTAAGTGTCTTTCTCCCCTGGCCTTTTCAAAATTTGTACATCCCTACAGACACCCCCAAAACTGTGCAGTACATCAGGAAGTTACACCAGGTAGCCTCACTCCAAGGCCTTGGAGAACAGCATGATTTCACATCTGACTTGTAGGCTTCTTTGAAATATTTGTAGGATCACATTGGCCACCTTCGTTGCAATAGAACAATGTCTCCCACCTGCTCCCCCGTTCCCAGATTACTACTAATTCTACTTGCAATAGAACAATGTCTCCCACCTGCTCCCCCATTCCCAGATTACTACTAATTCTACTTATGGCCTTTTTATTGTCATTAAATTTCCATTTCTTTACTCAACTTCAGTTTGCTTTTATACTTATCTGAAATATCTGACACTTGTATACACTAAGTCATTAGCCATTTCATAGACCAGTAGTTTAAATAGTTATGAAATAGGTTTGTCAAAGTTAATAATTCAAATCTCAGTGTTATCTCATAATTCTGTATTGGGTCATTAAATATGACCTTAAAAAAAGCAACAGCCTGACATGAATTTCTCATGTAGTCATTAGTGATTTCTGTAGGACCCATTGCTATTTCTATTAAACCTGGTTCAGATGGTGCTGCCAAACAAGCAGCCTCAGGCTATACACCTTACCAGAAGAGGATTCAAGCTATAGTGTGCTATTAATTTTCCAAATGGTTTGTGTTAATTTGAGTCAGGAATTCTTGACTGAAATACACTCCAACGTTTTGTCCCTGTTTTGGCATTTACCAGTTAACCACCATCTATTTTCACTTTAGCAACACATCCCATTATGGTCCCCTAGTATACACCTATTGAAAAGGAATCTGAATTTGGAGCAGGCTGAAGAAAGTTACACATGGAATTTTAGGCCAAGCTACCAATAAGCTTAACAAGAAGGCTCTAGATTTACTTAAACCAAACTTGACTTTCACTGCCCTTTTTGTTAATGCTATTTAACTATATTTTTATCTCCTTTCTATGCCTATGAACCATATGTGATCAGTCAAGTATTTTCGGTTTAAGTTTTACTAAAATGAGTCCCATAAGATTAACACATTCCCTTTCACAATAAAATAACATGCTAGGCCCTGTCTAAACTAGGAGAATGTGATCTTTGAAAATGATTTAGTGAATATGATTTTAAACATGATTTTGCAACTATCGTAGACATAGTTCTTGGAGTGATGTCTCCATGGGGTGCTGGGCTCATCCCAGCACTGTAGATCAGAGATTTTTCCTGCAGAGTGTGTGTGTGTGTGTATGTGGGGGCGGGGGGCATGTGCTGTTGGTGCCTTTGGAGTTTGTGCACATAGCTCAGCTCCTCTCAGTTCCTTTGTACTTCCCTCTATCTCAGATCTCAATCCTTCTCCGCTTTTCCTTCATGCAAATGAGAACAGAGTTATTCAGTTATAATTCCTGTTTTTATCTAATGTTCTTAGGTTTAGTTGTAAAAAAAAAAAAAAAAAAAATTTTCCTCGTGTAAATAGTTTTCCCTCAACCGGTTGAGAAACACTGCGCTAAAACTACCTGCAATGGCACTTCACAGTAAGAAAAAGAAAAACTCCAGGTTTGATTTAAGATGGAAAAAAAAACACTCCACGCAACACATCGCATGGAGAAGCAAAAGAAAAACTCCAGGTTTGATTTAAGATGGGAAAAAAAAAAACACTCCATGCAACACATCGCATGGAGGAGCAAAAAAAAAAAAACCCAGACAATGTCTGGTTGACCTGGATGGCCATGGGTCTTGCATTTGATGCTTGGGTGAGGTGCATATCCCTCAAAAATGCATGCACTCAGGGCCGGCTCTAGGTTTTTTACCGCCCCAAGCAAAAAGATGTTTAGCCACCTCCCCCCTTTTTTTGATGGCCTTAATCAGACCCTTGCCGCACCACATGGATGACAAATCTAAACAGGTGTTAAATCACTCTGCCTTTCATATCTGAAGGCCAGATGAAAAAAAAATCCAGGAAGCTGAAATATATGTCAGGAACATTGTAAAGTACATTACATATTATTGGTAATAAAGGTTGTCTGTCAACTTTTAAGTTCAAAAAATATGAACAGGAACATAACACCAAGTATACATGTTGTGTCCAAATATATTTATAACTGATTTAGACCAACTGACATTAACTGAGATTTTACAATGTATTCATCTCAATACATATGGATTCGTTGGGGGCCATAAAAGATAGATATTGCCAAATTACCTGGGGGGCCATATTAAACCGGAATACGGGCCACAATTGGCCCGTGGGCCGGACTTTGGACATGCCTGCTAAAAAGTGTTCACAAATTTTGCATTTTCATCAATTTTCACAAATCGTAAAACTATTGACAGTTGCTTGGTTTTGCTCAGATCTTAAGTACAATCAAGTATAATTGAGAAATATTTGGTCTTTAAGTTAAAGACTAACAATTTTATTGTGGCATAAGCTCTCCTGAGTTGCGACTCACTTGTCAGATGCAGGAAGTGAAAGAAAAGGAAACAGATAGTAGGGATACAGAGATGGAGTGTTCAAAAAGAGCTAGTTCAACCAGGGTGAAGGTGGATACAAAGAATACTCTCACTTTCTTATCCACATCCACTCTGACACAGTTACCGCTGAATC